AAAAAAAAAAAAAAAAAAAAAAAAAAAAATACTATAGCGATAAGCAATTCCTCACATCTCGAAACCGCGAAGTTCCTTTGGAAAATTGATATGATTTTATACTTTTGGGTAAATATGTTTATCTGGGAAGTTAAATTATGATTATTGAGAAGGTTATGAAATATTATATCTGTAGATTTTCTAATTTTAGCTTCTAAAATTTTGAATTTTCAAATTTTTAAACTTTCAAATTTCTAAAGTAATTTTCGAAAAATCCTAAATTTTTTAATTCTCAAATTTGCAAATTTTTCCAATTCTAAATTTTGAAATTTCGTGATTATAATGTAAATTTTGATATATGTAAATTTTCAAAATTTTAAATTCCAGAAGATAAGTATATAAAAATATATGTATATGTCTTATATCATCAATATTTATTACAATCTTTTATTATAATATTTTGTAAATCTCAATTATTGAACAAATATATGCAGATATTCTGAGATCAATGATATATGATATTTTGAACATTTGAAATACGGAAGCAAAATTTTATTACTTTGATTTTTAATTTCATAAGATATGTTTCCGAATGATATACATATATAATATTAACTGCTTGGCAAACGAAAAACAGTCTTGTTTTCCCCCTTTCACTTTCCCGCTGCTCTTTGTGAGCAGCAAAAGTAGACAGGAGCAGATAAGAGAAATCTCACGATTATGGCGCTTTTACTTTGCTTTAAACGCACAAAATAAAAGAAAAACCGAAAATTTTTACCAACTATAGTGAAAGACAATTCGAGAAAGTATCTTACGTTTCTCTCTGCATTAGAAGTGGTTTCAGTCACGAGAAAATGTTTTTCTATTTTTCTATTAACTTAATTTATACACTACGTGTAATTAGAAATTAATTAAATTTTCTATTTTAACTATATTACAAGAGAATAATAGAAGAATGCAGAGAAGAAGAGTAATTACTTAAATTAAAAAAAATTCAAATATTTGAAAGTTTAAAAATTTTAGAATTAAAAGTTTTTTATTTGATAGTTTTTAAAAAATATATATATTGTAGTAAAATAAAATTCTCTAATTTTATAGATATCAGTTATTTTTTCACACTATATTTCGTTATAAAATAAAAATAAAACATAAAATACTTAAATTAATTAATCTGTTCATGAAAACATACAAAGTTAACCAGAGAGATTATAAAAAACGATCATAAAAACTTCTATAAAAAGTCATAAAATTCTACAAAATGCATGGAGTGATAAAGCGGAGAGATAATAAATCACTAGCTAATATATGAGAGATTAAAATTTGCGAGAATTTACAACAGGTCGCATAACAATCATAAATCGTTTTGTTTCTGATTTTATTATTATATTCTCTCTGAGTTTGTTTCAAACAATACGCTTCTTTTTATGTCTACATAAATTCCATTAAATTTATTTTTTATCAGAATAAAATATCCAGAAGAAGAAAATTCAAAAAAATTTTCAACTTTTATTTTTTTA